TGTAACTTCATGGAATTCTTTTTATTGGGACAGACTTCAGTTCTTTGCCGCATTTAAATAAGAAAATAAATTTGTTTGGAAATTTTATAACAGAAAGCCAATTCCTGAAGAGTCAATCGAAGGTTCTGAAAACTCCCTATAATTGCGCTGCACATTATATTGTGGGGCAAACAAATATTTCTTTTAATGTAAGAGGAGGAGTTTTATATTTTCGTTATTTTTTAATTTTAACAAAAATTGTAAAGTTACTCCTACAAAGTTAAGGAGTGGAATTACTTTTATTTTCATAAATGCAGCCAATTTCAATTTGAACTGAAGTAAATAACTGAAATTCAGTTTTTATTGCGTAGTTTCTAAAATGAAAGGCATAAACATGTTTTCATATTTCATTTCCCAATGTGTTTTTCATTTTTTTATATTAAAGAAATCAAATAATCTATTTCTCTTCAGTTAAAAGTATACTAAGGAAACTGTTTTTTTAATTCCCGTCTTGTAAAAAAAATTATAACATCATTGCTAAAACATGTACTGATGCCTTTCTGACATTTTAACAGTTTGAAATTATTTCTGATTTCAATAGAGAAATCAAATTAAAACTTTAAAGAAAGTCCAGTTTAACGAAAAATGAAGTACTTTAAAGATAGTAAAGCATCAGAGCCTTATCATCAGATTTTAATATCTGAAACTAATCTCATAACTGCTTCTCCTAAACATACGAGTATTTATTACGTTTCAAATTCTTATGCATACAGTATATGTGCCCCATTATTTTCAAATGCCTGATTCAACCCAAAACGGTACGGCTCTGTTGTACAGATTCATTTAGATTAAATTAATAACTTTTTGAAAGTAAAATATATCTTCATATTATTTAAATTAAATAAAAAAACTGAATCGTGTTTATATTAAAGGAGAAGGATAGCAAGAATGCCTGTATCTCATGTTACCTCATATTTACATCAAAACACATTTCCGAATCCTCATCTTTGCACTGAAAAATCGTATTAAAATAATTGCAAATGCCCTGATTTCATTGTCTGTTTGTAGACATTTGTGGATAGCAAAAAAATCTTCATTGATTTTTCTCGCGCTTCTATAAAGTTCATGCATCTCTGATATTTTTCTCGTCGATAATCGCTTCATCCTTAATAATAATTTTAAAATGTATTTTAACTTATTATATATTAATTATTACTGCTATCATTCGAGTCAGTATACAATAAGTGTTTACTCCCCATATGTGTTGATTAAACAAAGAAGCTTGTGTACTTTAACGCATAAACAGTTTCACTCAGTTTACCGTATGAGCTACAAATAGTATTTAAGCATCGCTGTAAAAGTCATAGTATAGTGTAAATTCTCAGAAGTGAGTAATACAGATTTTCCGTAAGTCAGCTTATTGCATTATTGTATACTGACTCGAATGATAGCAGTAATAATTAATATATAATAAGTTAAAATACATTTTAAAATTATTATTAAGGATGAAGCGATTATCGACGAGAAAAATATCAGAGATGCATGAACTTTATAGAAGCGCGAGAAAAATCAATGAAGATTTTTTTGCTATCCACAAATGTCTACAAACAGACAATGAAATCAGGGCATTTGCAATTATTTTAATACGATTTTTCAGTGCAAAGATGAGGATTCGGAAATGTGTTTTGATGTAAATATGAGGTAACATGAGATACAGGCATTCTTGCTATCCTTCTCCTTTAATATAAACACGATTCAGTTTTTTTATTTAATTTAAATAATATGAAGATATATTTTTACTTGCATTAAGTCAAAAAGTTATTAATTTAATCTAAATGAATCTGTACAACACAGAGCCGTACCGTTTTTTGGGTTGAATCAGGCATTTGAAAATAATGGGGCACATATACTGTATGCATAAGAATTTGAAACGTAATAAATACTCGTATGTTTAGGAGAAGCAGTTATGAGATTAGTTTCAGATATTAAAATCTGATGATAATAATAATTGTTTTATGAACTGGAATAGTTAATTCATGCAAATTTGTTATGCTTTTGCATAATATTCTCTTTGTTAAAAGAACAGAAAAATGCATTTAGGAAATGCTGAAATATTTAAAACAAATGATTCACATTAATCATCAAATGAAACAAATTATGCGATATTTTTACCGTAATACAAATATTTAAATATATTGAAGCTGTGCATTGTAAGACAGTTATTTTAAATTCATAGCTTAAAAATTTCATAAAATTGTAATTTGTCAATGGAGTAATAATGGTGAAAGAGAATGCCCGTTTTGTATAACTAATATAACTAAGTATAAATATTTATTTTCTGTAATTTAGTTTCCATAACCACGTTTCCCAGCTACTAACTTTTGTACCCATAACTATTTGTTTAGTATTATAGATTAAGCAACAAATCGCTAATTTGGAAACGAAGATTGTAGTTAACTAATTTGGAGTCTATGATTGTGTTGATTTATAAAAGCTTTTAATTCAAAACGAAACATTTCGTTATACAACAAGATAATAAAATAAGTGAATGTCCTATAAAATGTAGTACTAAAACGGTTTTTCTTTCAGCCAGTTATAAAAATAATTTAGCTCCTTTTTCTGGAAGGAAAGCGATTAAGGAAAAAAGAAATGGAGAACAGAAAACAGTATTAAAAGCTAAACTGTTAAAAAAAATATTTCAAGCCAAATAGAATTTTTTTACAGTATTTCTGTTTAGAATGAGGGGGAAAAGGTATTAAGAAATATAGTTATTTTAAACATTGCAAGTTAAAGAATATTTTTTGAAATATTTCTATTTTGAAAGAAGGGGAAGAAGGTATTAAATTAAGAAATAAAATTAAATTTTTAATAAGTTATAATAAGAACTCAGATTTTTAATATAATTTAGAAATTTTGGGAACATATGAACTGTCTTTAAATATTAAATTCTAAAGAATGAAAGCAAAATTATGTAGCTTCTGGACAGCTTATACTCATTATTAGCAATTTAATACGGTTAGAAAATGACCATTGATTACTTTTGCATCATGTATGTTGTAATACGTTCTGCATTTTCTGCACACTCTAGTTTATACAGATATGTAATAAACATAAATGGATTGCAGTTATCTAACCTTAATAGGGTGAGATACAACCTCAGTAAGATGAAGAAATTTCAAATGATTATATTGGATATTTTCAATTATTTAAAAATTTCGAATATTGCGGAAGTATTTTAATACTTTGAAAAGTATAATACCTTACTGGATCATTAAAACATTGTAGTTACCTGTTCTCTAAAATAGGAGTTCATCACTCTAATCATTTAGAAAGTAATCCAGTGTTGCCTGACATCCATTTACATCTTTAGTGGCATTATATTCATGGCACTTTATTACGCTGTATTCATGTCACTCTGTGGTTTTATATTAAATCAAAATGAGTTGTTACATGAATGTCACAGTGTGACTTCACAACAATATTACAGTGTAACTTCACAACAAAGTCGCAGCTTGACTTCACAGCAATGCCACAATGTGACTTCACATCAGAGTCCCAATCTGACTTCACATCAACGTCGCAATGTGACGTCGCAAAAAGCGGACATTAAGCCATTCCTACAACGGTACTGCGACATTGAGGTCGTCACAATGCGACACGTTTGCAATGTTGCAGCGACGTGCCGTGCTGTTGGGGTGGAATCGCCTGAATAATTTTTGAGTAAAAGGAAAGATTAGTCTCGTCAACGAAGTATCCATCTTTAGGGTAAAATTATAGCGTAGCAGAAGGGATTTGAGGCACTGTAATGTTCAGGTAACCATTCAGGTTCAAACAGCCATCTAACAACATTAATGAACCTATTCCATATCATCAAAATATCTCTAGAAAATAAAACTTTCCCAGGACATTTGAACGTCTACCAGATGCAAACTGGTTTAACTGCTTCTCATTACTTGACTGCCGTCGATATGAAACAGAATGTAACATGACTCTTGCGACAAGACTCGTTTTCAATTGTCTGTAGTGCAAGGCAGTTATTCCTTGCACCAATGAAGCTGATTTTCCAGGTCTTCTCGAAAATAATCGGCTTATGATTTGATTGCTACTTAAATATTTAAATGAATATATTGTATCTCGCTTAACATAAAGTAATTAAATTATAAGGTATTTCTCTCGTCTTCTTAGCATGCCTTCGTTGTGTAGTAGTCAGCACGCTCGACGCGAATTCGAGAAGTCCGTGGTTCGAGTCCCGACAAGGATATTATTAATTTTTCACAACTCATTCTTTCAAAAAAAAAATTCCTAATGTCTCTATAAAGTAGGTTTCAGAAATCGAACACTGAATGAATATTTCGGTTGTTATGCTACTAAAGTTTTCTTTTATTTTTTCCATCCTTACAAAACTTCTTAAAATCTGTCATTATACATCGTTTTGATCGACGGCAAATTTTCTACTATAGAATCATCTAACGGAATATGTTATTGATTTCCTTTCTAGATTAATAGTCAACAAAGGGTATTCTGCTGAGCTCTGTTAGCTATGTAATTTTATTCTCAGTCTTCCCCGTTCCTTTTCTGTTTCATTTTGATGCATGATAAGATTCCCTAATTTCTCTTCAACTTGCTGGTTTTAAGGCTATTGCTCGGTAACTTTTCCTAATAAAACAGAGTTTATCTAAATCGCAGAGGCACTGCTAAACAAACGGCAAACGTCATTGCTATTTATGTCTTCCGATATTCATCTTAACAATCCAATACTTAGGATACATAAATATATGGGAAATTTAACATTCATATTAAATAATGGGAATTTAAGCCCATTTGATATAAATAGATTTCTTTCTTTAACTCGTACGCTGTGTCGTGTTAACTGACACCATTTATCAATGGCTTTTCCTCGTCTATTTAAATTTGCTCCATCCGAAGACTTCCTGAGTGATACTATTTTCAAGTATCACAAACTGTCAAGATTGGAGAATAGGCGTGGTTTATCAAGGACAAGGTAGTTTCACTGAGTTGGCATGGCGACAAACGCGGGTTGTTGGTATTGGCAAAAAGCATTAAGTTTTAATTAGTTGTTATTTTGTTTTGATTTTGGCATTTGTGCCAGCGATATTTTGTTTTATGATTGAATACTTGTGTGAAGTTTGCTTAAAATTTTCAAAATGATAATTCTTTGTATCAGGATGTTTTTTATTAAGCCTACCGTAATTTCCAATATTGTAAGTATTGTATTACAATTATGAGTGAATTTCGTTTTTATATGAATTTAAATGCGTAATTGTAACAGAATATTTATTTCTGATATTGCCTATCGTCATACTTGCATACCTTCAGTTGTTTGTCATTTGTAAATTCTCTCGTAAAAGATAATTAGTTTGAACTTCCACTTGTTTTATAAGCGAATTGTTCTTGTAATATGAAGTTATGTGTTTTGAAAGATGACGTTATAAACATTTTAAGTTATCATAAAGTATAAAAATAACAAGTGATGAAAATATATGATGACTGTATAGGCTTTTTGTTACTTTACAGCAAAATGCTTCACAAATTGTTTATTCTAAAATGTGGAAAATGTTTAAAGTGAGTTACTTCTTTAAACTCTAAAGCAGTAGTTAACTAGCTTTTCTAGAAAAATCAAAATTTCATGTAATAATTACTGGCATATGCGACATAGCGTCATAATTTTGATAATCTTTATTACTGAACAATATAAATGAGTTAAAGCATTAAAGGTATTTTCATTTTCGTTTCCCGTGGTTACACTTTGATTTCCTTTTTTGTTTATCTCTTTTATTACTTTTTTTTTTTGCCTAGATTCTTAAAAATTTCATGTTTTAAGTAATACAACTAAGTTTAAAGAATGTTTGTCACTAATAGATAATGACTATCCTAAATGTTTATCATATTTTACATGTTAACAAATTAATTCTTTAAAAAACTATTATAAATAAATAAGAAATATATTTTGTAACAATGTTATAAGAAAAAAGGATTATGCAATTAAGATATATGAATTAATATATATTATAAAGTAGAAAAGGTTTATGCATATTAAAAGTAATCTTTTAGTAATTACAATTGCATATGTAATCAGTTGAATTTTTCTTAGTTAATACCTGGCAGATGACGCAGAAGTTTCCATATTTATGCGATTTCAGAAAACAATGTTATTCCTTGAAAAATTATTTTCAAATGACTGTAGCAGATAAACATGTGAAAAAAGATTTGCAGTTTTATAATGAACTCAAAGCAGTAGTAAGATAGTCATAGATACAGAGGTTGTTTAATTTTAGATCACATTATACTTTGAGTAATTTGAGAACTTCCCTGTATATAACAATATGCTTATGGAATTTGGAAGAGCGATTCACTTTTATTAAAGGCAGTTTTAAGAGTTTCCTGAGTCAAATGCTTTTTTTTTAATAGTTCACGAGGCATCATTGTAAAAATATAAACTGAATCTCATTTTTTTGCAACATAAATTTTAAATTTGCACAAAATAGCTTATGGTAAAATGATTACCATATTTGTCATATTGTCATATTACATTGTTATTAGTGGCTCCCAAGACTAAATTACTGACCAACAGAGATATCTTGCCATATATTCTTATGCCTCGTTACATGTTACATCTCAGTTTGTTTTAATTTGGGGGCCTTCTAAAATAAGGAAGTGTCAACAATTGACTACGTATACAAATTGTTTTGTTTTCAAATGAAAATTGTAAATATTTGTGAAGTTGACATAGGATCAACTTAGAAACAATGCAGATCCTGTTAAGTTAAGCACATTAATTGACTTCAGATTTTATATTCCATTTAAATTTATAATAGTATTTATTGTAGCTACTTCAATTATTAGTAATTAGTTATTTATTTCTGCCATTTATATAGCAATGCAATAGGTAGTTAAAAAACTTTATTTATTATTCATGTTGCTCATGAAATTGAATTAGGAAAAGGAATGCATATATAGATTAAATTTTATTGTAATAATGCTGAAATTCATCATATTGATTCGGTTATTGTTATTGCCTTCAGAATTTATGAACTCATACCAAAGTGTAAAAGTTCTGAAATATGTAGATTATTAATTTCTTCTCTGCAGCTCTTATTTTTGATGTTATGCAAATACCATGATGGGCTACACTCGCATGAAGTTTGCACTGTTTAGCATTAATTAATTTAACATGAAGTATTAAAATAAACTTCTAAAGTTAATAACTTGAAAATAAAAAAATACCAGTACAAATTATTTCATTTGGTGAATTTGTATTCTTATGAATTTATTGCCTTCCAGTTCTGGATAGCATCATATTACCATAATTCTGTTTATTTCTTTTTTAGTCTTCTTGTTTTGCAATTTCAAGAATGAAATGACAGCTGCACAGGATCTATCAGCAAGCAAACCTGTTGAGAGTGAGAAGGTTGTGCATCCTGTTGAAATGAGAAGAACGCCTATCATTCATCCCTCTTCTGATGCACCATTGTGCAAAAGTTGTCACCAGTTAGATCTTCCCTTTTTTGACCCAAGTTGTCCTGGTTGTATGGAAATATTGCAGAGTTCAGAGACTACAGTTCCTCAGATCTTTGCAATCATAAGACAATGGATGCCGCAGACTCAACAGAATATTGAAATACTAGTAAATGAAGTAAGCATGGTTAATAATTTAGTGTTGTAAAGAAACAACTGTATTTATAGTGCGACTGATTTTTAAAGAATTGTGATACTTTCTGATTTTCTGCACCAACCACTGAAAAGTTGCAAAAAATGCATCACCAATGGAGTATGTTGCCAAAATGGTTATGTGACAACCCATAATGTTGCCAAAAAGAATTTATTTAGCAACCAAATAACAACATAAATGCACATAGTACACATTTGCACTTTTGAAATTCAGTCTTCATTTTTTCTGATTAATATTCCTTTTTGCATTATGTATATTTGTTTTTCTTGCATCAAATAGCTATGGAACTGTGGAGTTTACCAGTTACTGAAAAAGAAAGTTTTGCTTTTTGCAGAAATTTGGCATTTTGCCCAATAATAAAAAATGAAAAAATTCACATTGAATAAAGTTGCACTTCGTATTGACTGAATTTTATGAAAATGCAATGTGAGAAATTGTAAGCTAGATGTTAGAATGTGGTCTGAAGATGGGTATATCTTATTTAACAACTGCTATCTGCTTTTATACTGTTGGCTGAGGCATATCTCATTTAACAATAGCTGTTTGCTTTTATATTGTTGGCCCATGCACAATGCCAATTTTTTTTTTTAGGGACTAAAGATTGTTGTGTACATGGGGAAAAGAATGCCACAAAAAATTGCTGAAGAATTTCTTGAAATAGGTAAGAGTTTTATAGGCTGATCTTTGGAATATGGTAACTGGTAGTTTGGCAACATTTTGGAGGCGATAAAGGTTACTACCTAGGACTTTGGTAATAATGTGTCAAGTACTCAGTTTGATTACGCATTATTTTGTGTGAGGGAAATGAGAGATCATGAGATATGTCATGTGACATTAATGGACAAATTACAGTTCTTTAATCGGAAAAGGAGGAAAATCTGGAAAATTTGTATTTAGCTTTATTCTGTGTTGTGTGAAACAGCATTGGTTAATTTTTGGATACCATGGCCCTAACTAAAGTGAATTCGAAATGGGTATTTAGTGGGATTGAAAGGGGTAGTAATAAGTGTTTTTTTTTTTTAAGGTTGTGTGAGATAGAAATAAAGATGTTTTATTAAGTTATTTATTTTACCTGGTACCTTGCTGTGAACTATAAGTATGATTTTAAAGATCCTGAAACAGGCACACATATGCTTGCTTTTTATTTGGCAGAGGAAATAAGAAAAGTTTATCGGCCACGTAATCAAGATTCTGAAGAAGATTAGGTAAGTTAGTATTTTTAATTATTTGAGGATATTATTTTTATGCATTGTTGTAAATATAAGGAGTAAATAAAGGAATATGGTATTATTGGAAAATGGTTATTAGCAATGATTTAGTTTAAAGTAATTAGGATTGTAAACTAATTTTTATTAATTTAATGTATGTGCTTATTATAGTTTAAGTAGTGTTTTTGGATTTAATATATTTAATTAAATGATAGTTATTTGCGAATTATATGTTTGTAGAAATTTGGTATACGTTTCAGTGGAAGTAACATGCATGGAAATAATTTAAATATTTGACACTAAGTATTTGTAACCATTTATAATGTTTGAGGTATGAATTCGTTGGTGACGTTTATATATAATAGATAATTTAGAGGTAAAAGTTTTTGGATATTTTATTTATTTTATACGTGGAAATGTTCATCTTTGGAAAGGGTATATACTTTTTCGCGATCAGGTAATTTCATATATGTTCTTTTGGAACTACTCTGATATGCACCCCTAAGGTGCCAAATTTCTCGTCAAATATTTTTGGCGAGAAACTCCACGCTGCCATATTGCTATCTAAATTTTTTGTCTACATTTCGAACTTTAAGCCTAAAATGTCTCCAAAAACACGGTTTTCGCGAATGCAAAAACCACGTTTTGAACACACAATTTAAGCTAAAAATCCAAAACAAGAACAAAATATTTAGATAGCAAAACCGTGAAGTTTCTAACCAAAATTATTTGACAAGATCCATGTACACAGCGAATGTTTAACTTAAAAAAACATCTACGAATGGCACTATCTAGGCAACGAAACGAATTTACGAACTATGCACCCCGCTTAATAAATTAACATAACAAACAATAAACTTCAAAGAATACCCTTCTACACAGCATTCTGTTTTCAACTTTAAAAAACATCTACGAATTGCACAATTTAGACGGTACGCACTAATCAACAAATAACTAAAATTTCAAACAATTCCAAAAAACAATAACGACAGAAATTCTACTAAAAAACAATGAAAATAACATCTACAAAATAAGAACAGATAAAATAAAATCACTTACTATTAATGCTTTTTCAAACACAGAAATACCATTTCATACCGCCTTTAACATACTGGCCCACGTAATCACTATCGTATTTATATGACAGCCAGTCACACTATCCAGAAATTCATACATAGTTCACAAATAAATAAATAACAAATAATCACCAAATCCCTACATCTATCACCCACGCCCACTAAAAATAATCTCCCATACCTTCTTTCTACACCTCCAAATACCATGCCCCCCTCAACAGGATGACCACAAACGATTTCCTTATGCCGAACTTCAATTCAACAACTTCATTCCCATTAAATCTTTCCCCCCTAGCTTCTCAGACACAAGCGTGACGGGAACCAACGAACTCCCAGCGAAAGATTTTCAAACGTCAACAGTGGCCATACAACACGCAATCGCGCCAAAACCGCACAGAACCACATATTGCCACATTTGGTGAAATTAGGGCGTATATCAGAGTTGTACCATTCTTTTTACCGGATTTAAAGATTCACAAAATTTTCATGCATTTTTTTGTGAAATTTTTCTACTTTATGAGAAAAAAAGCAGTGTACATGGATATAGTGAAAGTGTGCGCAATGCCATTTTTGTGCAATTCTGGATTTTTTTTTTAAGTAAATAAGTCGACGTGTACATGATTAGTGATATTTTTAATTAAATGATAGTTATTTTGTGAATTTTATGTTTGTAGGAATTTGGTATACGTTTCAGTTGAAGTAAACGTGCATGGAAATAATTTAAAATTTGACACTAATATTTGTAACCATTTGTAATGTTTGCGGTAATGAATTCGTTGGTGATATTTATAATATAATAGATAATTAGAGGTAAAAGTTTTTGGATATTTTTATTTATTTTATACGTGGAAATGTTCATCCTTGGAAAGGGTATATACTTTTTTCGCGATCAGGTAATTTCATATATGTGCTTTTTAACCGAGTTTAAGATTCACAGAATTTTTTTTTTGCATTTTCGTGCAAATTTTTGTAATTTTATGAGAAAATAGCAGTGTAGATGGATAAAGAGAAGAGTGTGTGCAATGCCATTTTTGTGTAATTCTGGGATGTCTTTTTAAGTAAAAATAAGTCGACGTGTAAATGGTTTTTGTGTATGTCCTATTCTGAAAAACGCGCAAGGAGTTTGCAATTGTGCACTTTTTCCGAATTTTGCAGTTAATATTTGTCATGATTAAGCAGTTTTGTTACGTAAAATTTCTAGCATAAGTGTAATTCGGCTAGTAGATTGTTGGAAAAAGTGTTCAGTAAATAAAAAGAAAAGAAGGTACAACTCTAATATACGCCCTAATTTCACCAAATGTTGCTATGTGTGTTCGGTTGATTTTTACAATATGGTAACTGGTAGTTTGGCGACATTTTGGAGGCGATAAAGGTTACTACCTGGGACTTTGGTAATAAGGTGAGTAGTACTCAGTTCCGATTACGCATTATTTTGCGTGAGGGAAATGAGAGATCATGGGATATGTCATGTGATATTAATGGACGAATTACGGTTCTTTAATCGGAAAGGGGGAAATCAGGAAAAAATGTGGAAATTTTGTATTTAGCTTTATACTGTGTTGTGTGAAACAGTGTTGTTTAATTTTTGGATCCCATGGCCCTAACTAAAGTTAATTCGAAATGGGTATTTAGGCATTGTGATAAAGAGAAGTTTGCTTTTTATTTAGCGGAGGAAGTATGGAGGAAAAATTCGCAGAAAAAATCTTTCAATAATTTTATTGAATGAATTAGAAAAGTGTATCCGCCACGTAATCAAGATTCTGAAGAAGATTAGGTAAGTTAGTATTTTTAATTATTTGAGGATATTATTTTTATGCATTGTTCTAAATGTAAGGTGAAAGGAATTTGGTATTATTGGGAAATTGTTATTAGCAATGATTTAGTTTAAAGTAATTAGGATTGTAAGGTAATTTTTATTAATTTAATGTATGTGCTCATTATATTTTAAGTAGTGTTTTGAATTTAATATATTTTAATGAAAATGATAGTTATTTTGTGAATTTTATGTTTGTAGGAATTTGGTACCCTTGTTTAAGTTGAAATAAACGTGCATGGAAATAATTTAAATATTTGATACTAAGTATTTGTAATGCTTGCGGTATGAATTCGTTGGTGACGTGTATAATGTAATAGATGATTTAGAGTAAAGTTTTTGGATATTATTTATTTTTAATATGGGAAATGTTCATATTTGTAAAGGGTAATACTTTTTCGCGATCAGGTAATTTCATATACGTTCTTTTACCGGGTTTAAAGATTGAGAAATTGTCATGTATTTTTCGTGAAATTTTTCTAATTTATGAGAAAAAAGCAGTGTACATGGATATAGTGAAGAGTGTGCGCAATGCCATTTTGTGCAATTCTGGGATGTTTTTTTAAGTAAAAATAAGTCGGCGTGTACATGGTTTATGTGTATGTGGTTTATTTTGAAAAACGCGTAAGGAGTATGGTATTGGTGCACTTTTTCCCATTTTTGCAGTGAATATTTGTCATGATTAAGCAGTTTTGTTTGATAAAAATTTCTAGCATAAGTGTAATTCGGCTAGTAGATTGTTGGAAGAAGTGTTCAGTAGATAAGAAGAAAAGAAATGTGTCTTTACTTCGTGAAGACAAAATGGTGGCGGGGAAAAAAAAATAGAGGGTTGCTGTAGGAGAGTTGGTTGCCAAATTTTCGCCAAAA